TTTTTGGCAGAACTAGGGATTGAACTCAGGCCCTTGTGCTTGCCAGGGAAGCGCTTATTCCACTGAGCCATCTCCCTGGCCCCTATTATTCTTGATGATGGTCCAGTTGTTGCAGAATTGGCAGGCTGCAAGTGTGCCAGTGCAGAAGACAGTGTGGTTTGTCCCCATGGTCTTGTTCCTGTTGACAACTGCCTGTCCGCCTCATGAGGTGAGCCTGTCCTATGGAGACAACCGATCCTACCGGCCAGGTGGCTATCCTTGGAAGGAGCTTCCCGGCTTCTGGAGCTCCCAAAAGGCTGGCCCTATCCTCACCTCTCCCACCCTTCTGGATGCCACATGGGGACACAGAGGGGAAGGCCAGCTTTCTGGGGATTTCCACAGGGTGATCCTGTTGCACGTCAGAGCACACAAGTTCCCCAGGTTCTAGCTAGAGACATTTTGAGAACAGAGAGGGGGAGGAAAGGGGCTTTTGAGCTGCATCAGCCCCAGAATTTTCCAAGAGGGACTCTCATTCTGGCCTCCCAAGGCAGGGGCAGAGGCCTAGAAGCCAGACCCCAAAGCCTGACCTCAATCTTGCAGCCTGGGCTCTGTCTCCCATTGGCTACTGGGCCCCAGAGGGTCCCTTAGAGCCACAGCCCTAGCCCTCCAGCCCGTGCGCATCTCTTTATCCCCAGTGAGGCCCCCGGCCAACCCTGCTGATGACCCTCATGTACCCCTGGCCTGGGTCTCTCCCTGTGGGGTGCAAGGCCCAGGTAGCATCTGAGATCCAAGCATGGGCTATGCTGGGTGCTAGGCAGGAACCCAGGTTCTCCCGCCCAGTCAGCCCATACTCTGGGCGCCTTGCTCCTGCAGCCTGCAGTCTCTGACCCAGGAGTCACTCCTGCTCTAGCCCCAAAGCCCCAAACCTCTAACAGGGTTTCAGGCTCTGTGACCACTCTCAGCAGCTCTTAGGACTGGATTTTCTGCTTTATTTTATTTTATTTTATCTTTTTATTTTTGAGGTACTGGAGACTGAACCCAGGACCTTCACGCTGGGCTACCTCCCCAGTCCATTTTGATTTTTTCTTTTGAGATTGTGTCTCCCTAAATCACAAAATTGTCTGAACTGGGTTTAAATCTGTGATTTTCTGTCTCAGCCTCTAACATGCTGGGATTACAGATGTATGCCTCCATGCCCCGCAGGAACCATTTATTTTTAATCCTAAGGGTCCCTTGAGACTGAAAGAGCCCTAGAGACTAGGGCCACCTGGCCTCAGGGTGTGGGGCCAGGACAGGAACAGTAAGGCTGTTGGTGCCCAGGGCTCTGTCTGATGAGTCAGCCTTGGGCCACAGGGAAATAGAAGTGCAACCAAAAGGGGTTCCACCCTGGGCGCCTCACAGGCCCACCCACTCTGGAGCAAGCACCCCACCCTCCAAGTCCCCAGACAGCTCTAAGTGGTGGGTGCCAGCTGCCTGGAGGGCCGGTCAAAGGCCCAGGCAAGCTGGAAATCAAACATTTTATTCTACCAAACCAGGCATGTGCATGCCTGCAGTCCCAGCACTCTGAGATGCTGAGGCAGGAGGATCACAAGTTTAAGCCCAGCCTGGGAAAATCAATAATTTATAGAGACTGTCCCAAAATTAAAAAAAAAAAAAAAAGACTGCTCAATATGAAAGTCCTGGGCTCAAACCTCAGCACCACAAAAACAAACGAAAGAAGAGAAAAAAAGGAGGAGAGAAGAGAAAGGAAAAGAAAAAAGAAGAAATGGAGTTTTCCCTCCCAGAAGCGGGAGTAGCCACACCTTCCCAGCAAGCACCCCTAGCCCTCACCTGGGAGCACAGCCCACCTGGAGGACCTCATCCAGGTGAGGGTCCCCAGGCCTCCCAAGCAGCAGCCCTGTGCCTGCAGAGGTCAGGGCAGCACTGAGTGCAGAGTCCTCACAGGCACAGAACCACGTGTCCTCCCTGCCCTTCCTCTGAGGGCAAAAGCAGAAGATGTGGGTGGGGAGCCTAGGAGGAGTCACTCAGCCCCTCTCCTCTGCCACCCAGCCCCTGACACAACCCAGATCCTGTGGGGAGACACTGCCCATGTGGAAAAGCACCTGATGATGCTGGAGCACCCACCCTCCCCGTCACCTGCTTCCCCTTTGGGCCATTAGAGTGAAGCCCTTGAAACTTATAGCCCGGGGGCCCCAGGCTGCTGTCCTGGGGGAGCCCTAAATTGTCACCAGCTGGAGAAGACCAGGCAGACAGACCGCAGGGGCCCCTGGGAGCATGCCATGACCTGAGGGAGATCTGCCCTAAGGGTCTCTACTCCAAGGAGGAGTCCTCACATTTGCAGGCACAGAAGAGACCTCAAGCACAAGGGCCTGAGTTCAATTCCCAGTTTTGCAAAACAAAAAAAAAGAGAGAGAGACCTTGGGGAAGCTTTGTGCAGGCCACGCCCCATCCT